ATTGGGTACTGCCCCCACCCTGTAACAGTCTATACTAGGGGTCCTATTAAGTGCTATATATAAGTATGGTATAAATGTTATCCAACTGTCACAGACACAGTGGGGGTAGTACTCAAGTAACATTTTGGATAGAGGATATATTGCACCACTTACTTGGAGATTCATAGGCATGTACAGCTTGGGTAAATTGTGGGTTAAGCACAGCAGCGAACGGTGCTACTACCAAGCCCTCTATGCATACACCCCTATCCACATGAAACCGAATCCCGAATCACCTCCCCTAGATTCTCAACCCCCCAAAGCCGTCCTAGTGATGAATTCCCCCCTATAGTCCAGACATGGTACAATGGTGGGAGTGTTGATGACTGTGGGGGGAGTGATTACTCAACCCTAAACCCTGAACCCTGCTAGGAGAAGAAATTACATCATTGCAGTGCCCTTCCCCGTATTCATGAAGCTTTCATGCCCTTTTTGGCAGGGCCTCAATCCCTGGAGTTTAGGGCTTAGGATTTATGGGGTTTAGGGCTTAGGGTTTATGACCTCCAAAAAGAAATACGTGTCTGTGGGCCCCACGCTTCCACAGGCGACTGGAATTATGCATTCCCCTGCTACCCCTTAGGTTCCCAAATTATAAAAATCAACCCTAAACCCATGGATCATTAAGGGAATCCATGCTGAAAGGCTGCAACATACACACATATGAGCCATGGTCTAAACTCCTTAAAGGGGTGTATATAGGGGATTATACAGGGAAATATATTAGGGGTTATTCAAGGGGATGCTAGGAGTTTAGACTTTTGCTCATATAGGACCGAGCTTCTCAGGGGGCTATCCCAGTCCATTCTGTTGACTGTACTGAGCTTAAAGCCATTGTGGGGAGGAGTCTCCGTGAAGGAGTTCATACAAGGTGTGTTCAGAAGTCCCATACAACCAAAGAGGGGTTCCTAAACCATAAACCCTAGGCCCTAAACCCTAAACCCTCCCCAACATCACTGGTAGACCCGGCGCCCAAGGGTCAGGCCAGCGACCTTGCTCTTGACCAGTCCTCCTCCTGATTAGTTCGTGCGAGCTCATCTGAGCAGTGTTTTTTGGTGGTTGAACCTAGTAAGATAATATTCCTTATATAAAATACTACATCCAGAAGGAGGTTATAATCTTACTCTATATTGGGTACCATAGTCTCCCCAAATAAAATACTACTCATCTGACCTACAGAACTGACACTGCCATCACCCTGTACCAGTTCTGAAAAATTGAGATTGTACTCAAGGGCTGTATATGACGTGGGAGAAGTCTGCGATGTGAACAGCATATATACTTAGGGCGCAAGAGGTTCCCATGTAGGTACGTTGGGTTGTATGTACAAACCATATACCCACATGGACCCTTAGGGAGAACTAGGACAAATAAAGGGAGCACGAAATGCCTTCCAGGATAGATACGGTACAAGAACCAACGACAAGGCAGAAAAAACGCCTTCATTGAAGGCAGTTGACCGTATGCATTCTGAGGCCATACATGAGCCATTGTCTAAACTCCTAGTATCCCCCTTAATATCCCCTATAGTAGTCCCCTATATAATCCCCTATATATCCCCCTTTAAGGAGTTTCGACTATAGCTCACATGGACTCCGAGATCGTTGGGGACTTCTGGGGATTTCCTCAGCCATCATTACAGCCCAGTTAGCACAAACAGCTGCAGAAACCTAGAACCCGTTCATACCCCAAATTAGGCCCGATCAAGCCATACAAGCCCTTTTGCCTTGTACCACATTATTTTTCTTGTGATACGGACCCTGACATAAGGACCCCTAACTTCAGGAACTCCCACATCAAGATCAGCTTCGAAGTGTCTGCCCGCACCTGAGGATCCTTTTTGGGCTTCCTAGTTTGGGGCAGTGTACTCATCAGGGAAGGAAGAAATGAACCCCGTGGCAAGCCTTTGAAGAATGGTATGCGGCAATGATTCTCTATGTACATTTGCAAAATTTCAACCCGAGAGCATCGCAAGATCCGGATCAGCCCATATACATGCGAGATTTTCTAAGTTTTCCCCTACATATGGTTTGGTGGTCTGCCCTGCATGGCGTCAGTGTGTGCATCTGCAGTCCATGACAAGTCCTACAGAGCATACAAACACCAATGGCACCACCATGCCGTCTATCCAGTGCACTAGAGTTCTCCACACTTTTCAAACAAATAAAACTCTGCATACTTTTCTGGATAGCTAACACAAGAATGGTGGAGTGCCTTTTGTGGGGTCATGAACCACCAAGTTCCCTATAAAACATGTGGATCGTAAGGATAAGAAGCTTTGCCTCCCAAAGGGACCCTGTTCAGAATAACCCCGCCCAGACACGAAGGAACTTAGACTAAGTTACCATAGTAAGGGCGTATAGTCAATAGCAGAGTTTCCTTGGTAGATCAGCTTCAATTAAGTTCCTTAGCATCAACCCAACCTAGCTTTAGCGAGTATGGTTCCAGTCTATATGCCTAGCACGACCTATCCCACACGGCACCCTTACTTACACGCATGGATTTCGCTTGAAAGCTTGGAAACTCCCAGAGACCAAACCGTCGGCCCAGCGTCCTCTTAAAACGGGCAAACGTTGTACCCAGCTGGTGTAACCCACCCACAGAGCCAAGAATGGACAAAGCGCATGAGCAGCTGTCGGGGCATAGGGGTTAGGGTTTACCTAGACCCTCCAATGTAGTTCCTTTTTGGGTTTGGTAGGGTTTTTTGGTTAGGACTCTTATTAGGACTACCAAAAAGGTACTACATTGGAGGGTCTATAAGGCTGGCGGTTCAGGATATTTGGGCTTAAAGCTTAGGAGATGGGACCATGGGGTGGGGATTTATGAGAAGCATGATGAACCCCCTAAGATGCGCGAAAGGCAGCACACATTCCTACCTGGACTCGGGGAGATTTAGTATGTATGGTACGGTAATGATGAGGAGAATTGGGGTTTTAATATGGCTTCTAGGGCTCAAAAGCATACCTTCTACGTCCGAAAAGACCCCTGCCCCTGCGTGACGGCAAATAGAACAATCTCTACCATGCCTTACAAAGCAGAAGTCAGAATTTCGAGAAGCGGGCGAAGGACCGACGCCTTGAATTCCTTCATTCCGAGGTCTACGCTGGACAGTGTCTTGTGGGTTTAGGGTTTAGGGGTAAGGGCCAATGTGGGTATATGGTATACGTATACTATACCTATGTGGAAGCCCCTGTCGGCCCCGAGTATATACCATATACCCACATAGCCTCCAAAATTAGGCCCCCCAAGCCTCTGCCTCGCGAGGCGTGAGCGGCCCGAATGCTCGGGACTTCTACTAGCTGTCAGCTACATCCTAGATAGATAAATTATGAAATGCCTTTGCTATCTATCAGAGTTAAATATTGCTGCGGGACCACACGACACCGTGCCTGGGGTTCATCCCATTGAGACCCTAACGTGTGAAAGTAGCTGCTGGCCGGACTAGACGATCGTAACTACCCTGCTTTCTCAAGGAGCCGTAAACACCCATATAACGACTCCTTACCCAAACCAGGCTTCTACTATAAAAACAATACGTTGGACTAGGCAGGCGCTGTGGACCCTCTAGCTTACTCATAGGCTCATTCTCGGGGTCGAAGGAGTCAACAGAGGCTTGGCTTCAGACTTGAGCTAATATGTTTTGTTTCTTTGCTGTCGTCTACTCACTTTGCTCGATAGATATGGAACCCCAAAAAGCCCCGAAACAAATTCTGCAGAAAGACAACGAGATTTCCCTGTTCGCTGGGGTGAGAGCACCCCATGCACCAGGATGTGCGTCCCCTAAGCCCTAAACAACTGGGTTGCTGTTAAGGAACTTATTTTGAGTTACTATATTGGGGAAACCCTATTATTTACTATATATATACCCATTATGGTAACTTAATTTAAGTTCCTTAACAGCAACCCTAGACAAACATAAACTCACTCTTCGGTACTTTTTCCCCTGTAAGGTCCGATGTGTCCGGCGGGTTTTGCGGCGGCTTCATCGGTGGGCACTGCGGGGCTTGCATGTAGCCTGCGAAGTACCCAATAATTAGGAGCCCTTTAAAGGCATCTATAGGGGTATATAGGGATATATGGGGTTTAGGGCATGTAGGGATACTGGAAAATCAAATGGAAACTACTATATAATATTGGGGGGTATGTAGGGATAATGGAAAACCAAACTACTATATTATATATATGTAGCCTGCGAAGTGCCACAGGTGGTTTAAGGGTTTTAGGGCATAAGGGTTTAGGGTTTAGGGTTTGGGGTTTAGGCTAGGTTTCTTCAACGCCAGAGGTGGCTGAGGGGTTCAGAACTAAACTGGTTTGCTGTTAAGGTCTGCTTTTTAAGCTGCCATAATATGGTTGTTCAGGAGATAATAGGGTTTCCTTATTGTAGCAACTTATCTTAGAGTCGCTAACAACAGCAACGCAGTAGGTCCAACTTATGCCAAATTCAAGAGGATCCCGCGAGCAAACGCGAAGACTATCCAGGGTTTTCTTCTCGATTTTGCTTGCTAAAATAACTGTTACGAAGGACTGGCCATGTCAGTGTTCAAATTCCGGCAACTACAGAAGCTCGGAACTGCTTAGGGTTTAGGGCGAACATGGCCTGAGGCAAAATAAGTACTTGATCATCCCCAAACTTCGAACCCTCAGCCCTAGGCTCAAAAACTCTAAGTCCTACAACCTACCTGGTCCTTGAAACCGTGCATGTAAACCCAAGGAGCCAAAAACGCTACTGTTCTACGTGCATGCTTTTGGGGTTCAGGTATGTACACACTGAACCCTAAACCCTATTTATGCCCTTCTTCCTATGGCATATCTACACCATACTGTTGATACTTAAAATCCTGCAGGACCTAAGTATACTATAGTGCCATTATTCCCAAGGTTTAGGGTGTTTAGGGTCATGCAGGATTTTTAGTATCCACCATACTCTTGGGGTTCAGGTAAATGCTTTGGCCCACAAACTCTGCCTGCCATATCCGCTCCTCGAAGTTCTGCCGCCCGCCTCTCCTCCAAGAGAGGCACCCTTCTAGAGTTGCAGGGCCCAACCCTAAACCCTAAGCCCCTAAATCTTAGGGTTTAGGGTTTAAGGGTTTAGGGAAGCCGTTCCGATTTTTAGGACCAACTGCAAGAGGGGAGGTCGAAATGAGAGGCGTTGTTTTAAGGGGTATACAGGGCCACGGGGAGTGCTGCTATGTCAGGTCCCTGCATTCTGGCAACTCTTCAGGTTCATTGCCTTCGCTTAAATGGTAGCTTCCCAGGTTGACTGAGGGGTCTAGGGTTTAGGGTTTAGAGTTTAGGGTCGGTAAACCTTCAGCCGCCTATGCCAAGCGGTCTCCTTGCAGTGGTTGCTTGTGCAAGGACCCTGGATTTTTTGGATAGTTTTCAGCCTCCGTGTACTTTTAAACCTCCATGTAGTCTTGCAGGAGGACCGCACACAAGAGCGTTATAGTCCCCCTTAAGTAAATCCAATATGGATTTCGGATATATTATAATAAGATCCCCATATACCCCATATTCTATCTACCTAAGGGGGACTATAGCTACAAGGAGATACCTCGCGCACCGGCTTTCTTGGGCAGTCCATGGGGCTAAGGCTTCAGGATCCGGCTTCAAGGCTTAGGCTCTAAGCCCTATACCCTAAGCCCTAAACCCTAACCCCGCGCCAGACTACAAAACTAGCGGCTGAAACCTCTGAAAAATTGGCTTCATCAGCTCCCCCTTGATCTCCCCAATTAAGGTGTAAGGTTAGGGTTTAGGGTTGGGTGCTCAGGATTTATGATATCAGACCTCTATGTACGAGGGTGTTTAGGGTTTAGGGTAAGGTTTGGGGCTTAGGATCTATGATATTAGCTCCTCCATGTACGAACTCCTGTACTGCCTCCAGGTTTGGGGAGCGTCAGGGAGACTTAGTAAGTGGGTAGGGGAAAAACTCACGGTACTACATGGCTTTAGGATTTGCAGGTATGCTTCCTTAACCATCCTTGCTCGCCAATACTTAGAAGTTCAGTGTAGCTATGATGGTAACCCGCCTACAATTCTAAAACCATCCTAGTATTCTAGCCCCAGCTTCCGTTTGCTCTCGATTCGACTCCCCTTTGTGGTCCCTCGAGCCCTAAACTCTTTTTGCTGAACCTTCAGCTCTAAACCCGAAGCCTTCAACCCTAAACCCTACCCCCTGGACTTCACGGAACTCCAATCCTCGCCTCAGCCTCTACAGCGGGTGGAATCTCCGGCTTTGGAAGATTCGGCGGAGGGGTCATGGACGGTGCTGCGGTGGATGGATCCCAGTCCTTGGTCGGTTTACCCCCAGTTAGGTTTTAGGGTTTCGGGCTCTGTTTAGGGTACGGGTGTTAGGGTCTAGGGTTTGGGTTTTAGGGTCTAGGATTTGGGGCGTAGGGAAGTATGTTACGGTTTACCCCCAGTTAGGTTTTAGGGTTTCGGGCTCTGTTTAGGGTACGGGTTTTAGGGTCTAGGGTTTGGGTTTTAGGGTCTAGGATTTGGGGCGTAGGGAAGTATGTTACGCAACACTGGTGTGATGTATGAGTTGTAGAACATGACTTGATGATAACTTGGGGTGTCCCCTACCTAGGTTTACCGCATGGGTCGAAAGCGCTCAAAGGAGGTCTTACTCATAGACTTTGTACATCTCACAACCCCAGGGTTAGTGTTTGTAGGGTTTCGATGCTTCCCAGTCCACAGACCATTTTTGTGTAAGTACCCGTAAGGATGCTTGAAAGTTTGCCACATACGCTTAGCACTTTGTGGGAGACCGTATAGTAACTAGGTTCCCCAGTAACCCATTAATGACAAGGGTACCCTTTTTCCTATTGTTCAGCTTTAGTAAGGAGGCTCCAAATAAAAAGGGCAAAAGGGTACCACTGGGGTACCTAGGTATAATAAGAATGACAGCATATTTGCATCTATATCTGGCCAGGCATCTGGCACTCCAGCCCTGCCCGCAGCTATGGTCTGAGAGAAGGGGAAGATGCAATGAACGCGCAGAATCTCCGTACCTGTCCTTTCTTTGGCCCTCGAAATCTCGCAAGTGCCAACAGTCTCAGGGGTTGGGTGTCTGGGAGGCGCCATCTTCGTGACTGTCGTCACTTTTTGAGTCTGGCTCTGGGCACAAAATTCCAAACATGTCGACAGTTGAACGGATGGATCGATTTGCGGCACGATCCTTCTGGCTGTGATAGATTTGGGTATTTGGACGTTGCTCATATCCCATCATGAACAGCTTACGTGTCCGTCTAGGACCCCCTAAATACCCTCAGAATCACTGCATAGTAATGATCATCCATGTTCATATCTACACATCTATAGACAGTCCCCTGTTTAATTAGTCCATGTGAGTATCTTCTCTCATCCTCATACCACGCAAACTTACAAATGACCCAGGTAAGTCCCCAAGTTGTGAGACTCCCAACCGCCGATAAGTACGGGGGAGGGGAAGACCTCAAATCATGTCTCTTCATCCCACCCAACCCCAACCACACCCAGGGAGGGGTAGGCCCCAACCACACCCAACCACAACAGGCCCTTGACGAGATATTGGGGTCCTCTTTTTTGAAACAAAACTCCGTGTAGGTTCCGCAAACCTACTTGCAAGCCCCCACACTTGCTCAACGCAGTTACTTACACCAAGTAAGGGGTGATTGCCTCATTTTCATCAGGGAAGAGACGAATCTAAAACTGCTTCAAGGAATGAGGATTGCGATCAAACCAAGGACGGCATATCTGTTCTGCATCATAAATGGAAAGTTTGTGGGAAGACCTGAACCCTAAACCCAAACGAAACAGTACGCGGTCCTCCAGAATGCTAAGCGGCCAGCATGCGTTCAATCATTTAGGGGTTCAGGGCCTAGGTGCAGACTCTCGTACGGGAACTGTGCCTGCCTAGGATCCTTGATTACCTAGGACTGAAATGGTCCACCTTTTTGAATATAGCTGATTTGTGCACAAAAACCTGAGGGGCCCAAGAAGGGAAAAGGACTTATGCAACCAAGGTTTACGGTCTAGGGTTTATAGGGTATAGGGTTTAGGGCCCCCTGATGTGCGAAAGCAGTACAGGTCGCATAGAAACTGCAGCGAGTCTTTGTGTCTGATCAGCTCTACATGCACAGTTCCTGAGTAAGAGATTGAGGGGCCATACATCCACTTCTCTCTGTGCAGAAATATAACTTCCATTGGATGATTCTCGAGCAGGGAGTGCAAGATCAGAGGCTACAGCAGTGTCCTCAAGTTCCTGCATGAAGCTACAGCAAAAAGCATTAACAGTGTCTCGAGATAACGCATGCAAACAGGCGACAAACCATACCCTTAGCCTTGGTTGTCGAGCCGAACCCTGATGAAACAGTAAGAAACAGAGTCCTAAAGCCTAAACTTGCCTAAGCTTACCTTGACGTTCCTTCCATTTTAGGAGCTTCTCCTATAGCTGTGGTCTGTGGTCTATCCCCCGGGGCCATAGAGCCAAGGGACTGATGCACCACCTTTAGCCAACAGCGCTTCCACATCTGTATCCTGAGGGTTTAGGGCTCAGGGTTTTAGGGTTTAGGGCTATCTGTATACTCCAGCGGCGGGGTCGGGGGGAGTCCCTGTCGTGATACCTCTTTCGGGATATACGGTAGTTTCCCTAAATGAGGGGACCCTAATATAGACCCCAAAATACTATAGAAGGTACCCCTAATTTGGGGAAACCCTCATACTACCCTTCCGCAACCAAGGGTTGCCTAAGATGCTCCTCGATTGCAGATCCCAAGCAGTCTGCGGGACCAACGGAGGGAATAATGTAGACCCATGATTAATAAACCCCCTCCTTTTAAGGACCTAAATATTTAGATTGCGATTATAATGCTTATTACGGGGAGGGGGTTTATTAATCATGGGTAGGGGATAGCCACCAACCCTGTCTGGTGGAACTGACGTAGAAGTCACGAACAGGTAGCAACCTTCTCCCAGTGTTTTCCAGAAAAAAGTTTGTACGGCAAAAGCCAACCAGCAGTCTATCTATCTAGACAAAGAAATGGAGCTTGTGCTTCATGTACAACAAAAAAATCTCTTTGTTGGACCCCCTCCTTTAATCCAGAACTCAAACCGTAGGCCTCAAACCTCAATCCCTACACCCTTGACTAGACGCAACAATGCAAGCCACGCGGTTAAGGGTTTAGGGTTTAGGGCCCATACCCCATGATTAAAGGATAGACCCTACATCTTGTTAGGATCCTTAATATGGCTCATTCCGGAATCAAAGGGTATTGCCCCAAGGATCCAAAGACCCAAATGAATAATGAGGTTTTAGGGCCCAAAGACCATGATCTAAATGGTATTTGGGACCTAGAGCCCTAATATTTGGGTCCTGGGACCCTTAGGGTTGGGTTTCGTAGGGAAGCCTTACCGGCCTCAGAGCCTGTATCGGAGGAATCCGATTCCTGCGCGGAGGGGCACCATCATAGACTAAGTGGCGTTTGTTAAGGCACTCAAGTTACCATAACACGGATAAATACATGGCAAATAAGATGCTTTCCGGATTAAGGTGTCTTAATTTAACACCAAGCCTGTAGAATCTGGTTTTTTGCGGCAGCCACTGGGATCGTAGCATTCTTGGCCAGGTTGTAAGTGCTTATCGCAAAACCCGTCTACGGGCTTCTAGGGCTGACATTGTGGAGATTCCACCAAATCTAGGTTCCCCAGTAACCCATTAATAATAACGGTACCCTTTTTCCTATTCTTCAGCTTGACAAGGAAGACCCCAAATAAAAAGGGCAAAAGGGTACCACTGGGGCCACCTAGAAATTCCAAAGTAGGAATCAGCTCCATTGGGTTTAGGGTTTCGGGCCCTTCAGAAGAAGAATGGTCTTTGTAGCGCCCTTTTTGGGGGATGCCTTGGGTGGGGTATGGTCCTGTTTGAAGGGAGCTTTTGTCTGATCCAATCACGCGTCTTCGCACTTCAGCCTAATCCCTAAACCCTAAGCCCTATAGTGCCCCTTAAGTAGATAGAATATGGCTTTGGGTATACTATAATAAGATCCCCATATACCCAATATTCTATCTACTTCAGGGGGGCTATAACTCTAAACTGAGGTCCACCCGTACCCTGGCTGTCCTACCTTGTTTGGAACGTGTCCAACAAGATTCTGGGGCAAAGCCCCGAAGAGGAAGCACATCCAAGGTCTAGATATGGCTTGTAAGGAATTCCAGTACATAAATCTCCTTCTATCACATACTTTGGGGTGGTGGATGATTGCTACTTAATGATTCAGACTTCATGACCCCTAAAGCTGCCAATTTGGCTTTTGCGACTTGGGGGCCAAAGGCCCACCTCACACACCCCCACCTCCCCTCCCCTCCGCTCCTCCCGCCTCCCGGCCTCCACCTGCCTCCACATTGTCATGCGGGAGGGCTGGCAGGGGAGCTGAGTTTAGGGTTTAGGGTTTAGGGTTTGGGGGGGCGAGGCGGGAGGTGGGATCAAATCGATTCGGTCGGCATGTTTTCAGCATGCTTTTTGCATCTGGTCTCACTGATGTTTTCAGCATCCTAAACCCTTAAACCCTTGAAACCTAAACTCTACACACTAAATCCTAAAGCATGAACCCTAAACCCTAGACCCTACAAAACCTAAGCTCTAGACCCAGGCTCTGTGATCCGTCCTTGGCCCTGGAGATCTTAGGCTCTGAAGGACGACCTTGGCAGCTTGGCAGTGGCTTGGGATGCCTATATGGTTTAGGGCTTAGGGTAATACGGTGGATAATACAAATCCTGCATGACCCTCGGTGACTTAAGCCCTGGGAAGTATGGTGCTATGGTATACTATGGGGTTCTGGCAAATAGATTTAGGGTTTAGGGTTCAGGGTCTAGGGTTCAGGATTTTGGGTTTAGGGTTCGGGATTTTGGTCTTAGGGGTTGAGCATAACATCAGCCTCAGATATCCATGATTTGTGGTGTTGAAAGCTACACTTTAAGTATTTGGGAAGGTTCTGGATTTAGGGTGTAGGCTTTTGGGGCCGGGCCTTAGGATCTAGGGCTTTAGGGTTTTGGAGTTGGGGCTTAGGGTTCAGGATTGAGGGTTGAGGGATCAAAACTGATATTTTAGGATTTATGGTCTAGTGTGCTTCGAGTGCGTTGTGCTGTGCGACATGCTGCTAATGGCCTCGACTGCGACCCCACGCCAGGCAGCCAAGCCACACAAACCGATTGTTAATAGGGCTTAGAGCTTAGAACCTAAGCTCAGTTCTGAACAATATAAAACATCTTAACAGCCAGCACTTTCTTGCTTGTAGAATCTAAGACTCTGATAGGCCGCATGAGACCACCCTTTAGCCAGCCTAGGGCTCCTCTGTAAAGGACCCTGAGGAAATCAGGCAAACCCCTCCAGAACGAGTGGGTTGGGGTTTGGAATCGTGACTCTATGAAGGCGACCAGTACTGTTCGCAGGAAGACGGCCTTTCGCCGTGGAGGGCGAGAACCACAAACGCGCCCACCGTCGTAGGTGGGCAGCGTCAGCCTTGAGTGTTACAAAGGTCCCGTCTAGAAGGTGCCCATAGTGTTGGGCAACCCAGCCTCCAACCGGTTAAGGGTTTAGGGTTTAGGTTAGGGTTCAGGGTCAAGCCACGCCACACCCTAAGCCCTAAGCCAAACCCTTGAACCTGAACCCCAGATACCCAAAATAGTAGCCAGGATATTTATGGTTTGTGGCGCCGGCGGCTGATATTGCAGGTATTTGGGAGGCCTGGGTAAACGCGGAAACCTTACAACTGTAGAAGCAGCATTCTTGAGAATGTACATACTATGTACCACGAAAAGAATGACAAAACCACGAACAGGAAGAACATCCATGGCCCAGATAATTGTAAGGCAGGAAACCTTACACCCAAAACCTTAACCTACATAACCCTAACGCTAGGGATCCAAATATGTAGACCGATGTAGGTAGTGCTTACAGACTTTGGGGCCCAGTGTAAGTATCATTTGTATATTTGGATCCCTAGGGTAACCTAAACCTCATACCCTAAACCCCCCTAAACCCTCAACCCTAAATAGTAGCTTCCGTTTTCTTTACCATGATCCCTATAACCTGGAACCCTAAACCATAAATTCTAAACCCTGAACCCTAAACCCCTAGACGTCAAGGCAGGAGACATCTTTGAAAAAAGCCCGGATCCCGAAGTTCAGCGAGACTTTCCGCAGCAAGGCCCAGCTCCTCGGCGCAAGAAGCGCAAGTTCGAGGGTGTAGGGATTTGGGGCTTGAGGGTTATGGGGCTTAGGGTTTAGGGTCTGGGGGATTTGGTTTTGAGGTGGAATTGCTGTTTGGTGGTTAGTAAGGAATGACGGACTGGGTTGCTTGCACTTGAAATTCCGGGATTACATGGGGTTTATCGGTTGGAGGGTAGTGATCCAGCGCCCGATAGCCTCCTAACTACTAGTGATGAGATGTTGGGCTTCAGGTACAACATTCTCCCCGAAAGCCTGAAAACCTTCATGGAGGCGCTAAACCCTAAACCCAGAAAGCCTGAAAAACATCCTCATCGGAGTAACGTTTTTTTGGTGGTTAGACCCAGTAAGATTATATTCCTTATATGAAAACACTATACCCAAAAGGAGGATATAATCTTACTCTGTAATGGGTACCATAGCATGCAGAGATGTCCAGAGGCAATACG